GAGAAAGCCCGCGCACAGCAGTGAAGCCCAATGCAGCCAAGATAAAATAATAAAATAAGTAAATGTGGTGTGTGTATGTATATATATATATATATATATATATATATATATATATGAAGAATTTCAAGCATGAAAACTGCATAATTGTAAATTCTTTAGCCGGGATAATGGCATTTGATTTGTTTGCGCTGGTTGATGGGTAGGTGACAGACCGTGGGATTTGATCAGCAGCTCTTGTCCACCTCTTTTCAGGCTGGCTTTTGGGATGCTTTAGTTCCTACTTCCTTTAGTTATTCCCCTTTCGCTTTTGGTATTATTATTATTTACTTTTTTGGTTTTTTAAAGGCAAACCAGACATTTTTATCTGGAAAGGAAAATTATTTTGGGCCTAGGCATTAACAGGTGCCTGCTGTCCTCAGAGAACTATGTAACAGACCTGGAAGCGATTCTCCGGGGACGGCTGGCACGCCACTCTGTCACCTTCCTGTGAAATCTGGCGGGTGGGAGCTGACGGCATTTTTAGCTGTCGGAAAAACCTCTTGCTGCCAGGCTCTCTGTCTATGAGATGAGCCTGTGTGAAAGGAAGAGTCCCATCTCAGTGGTAATGATGGGGAAGCATTTCTTTTCTTTCTTTGCTTCTGGGCTAAAGTTTCCTATTTGCCAGTTTTGGAAGACGCGTTGATCTTCATCTCCCATGGGGGTCCACGAAGGGACGGGAGAATGCTGCTTAGTTTCTGCCCGTAAGCTCACTGTGTAATTTGACATGAGACTTTAATAATTAAATTATTAGTCAGAGGGCTGACCTGCTATTGGTATGCAGAAGGAGGGAATGTGGCTCTTCGGGTGCCAAATTCCAGAGCACCCCGAGGGTAGGCAGGCTGCCCTTCCCAGCAGACCAGGGCAGGAGCCCAGGGCCGTAAACTTGCTTTCCAGGAAGTGGCTCTAGTCCTCGGGATCACTGCGGGACCACAGGACGCGTACCTCCAACTCCTGCCGGTCCTGGCTGGGGCGTCACCCTCTCCAGCTTGCCTCCCCGTCCGATCACTTGGGGGACACCTGGGGCCTCGCCGGAGAAGCAGGTCCCTGGCTTGGGGTCCTGCTCCGAGCGAGGGAGATGACAACTGTCAGATGTAGCCCGTGCGGCCCTTCTCCTGGATGCGGCCTCCTTCTCGGCAGGCCACTCTCTCCAGGGCTGGCACATCGGCAACAGCCTGCCCCCGGCTGAGGCTAGCATGTCGCCGTTTCAGAATGATTGGGGTGGAACTCCTCTGTATTGCTTGGCCATTTGGCTGAAACCTGGTTTAATGGCAAAGCTCATTATATTTTATATAAGTAGCTGTGTGGAGGTGTCGTGCCTTCAATCCGAGCTCCGAAGACCCCTGCACCAGGGGTTCTTCACTTCTTTTGTGCCATGGATCCCCTTGTATCCAAGTGGCACCAGCCTGGGACCCTTTTTCTGAATACTGTATTTAAATGCACGCAATAAAACACCAGGTTTTCCCAGGAAACCAGATTTTCTTTACTGGCAGATCTAATAGCCGTTGAGATTTTGAGCTGACGATAAACATACACAACTGCAGTGTGGATTGAAAGCCTCTGTTATTTCTGTCGGCGACACGGCACAGGGATTGCTTCCTATAGTCATTTCTCGTTTGTTGCAATGTGTCTATGGGAGGAAATGCTAACTTTCAGTTGGAGGATGGTGAGAATAGAGATTACACATTTCCCCGTTCAAGGTCATGGGCTCCTGGGCTCTGTCCCCACTGTAGTCAACGGGGGGCTCTGTAGCCCAAACTAGAGACTACAGCAGAGGAGCAGCCTTTCATCAGAGGCAGTCTGGGGGGAATCTTGAGGCAGCTTGGCTGGGGGCTGCTGCTGGGATGAGCTGGGGGTTTGGTGCTTTGCCTGATGGAGAAGGAACCCTGGGCAGGGGGTGGGGGGTCAGGTGCAGGATGTCAGGGATGAAGTGCTGGTGTTACCTGGGGAGCGTGGACTCAGATGGTCGCATTGTGCAAGCACATAAGAACTAGGGAACTTTCAGTCTGCTGCCGTCATTGACATGGGGGTCTTCGCATCTGCATCCAGGACAGGGGCAGACGATCCCACCCTGACCCTGTCCTCCCTGGTGCTTTGCCTGCCCACCCACCTGCCCCACCCGCCTCGTCCTTCAGGGAGGAAATGTGGTCCCGCGGGCACTGAGAGGCTGGCGTGCTTTGGAGGGTGGGTGGCATGGAGCACAGAGGCTCAAGGCGCAATGATTGTCTGGGGGCTGCTGCCCCACATGCACCCCACAAAGGAATGAAAGCAAACTCCGGGCCCGGTTCTTCGGGCGTCCGGATTCCAGTTAGGGAGAGGCATGTCAAGGGTGATTGGTTAGGTCTGCAAGGACTAGTGAGTGTGGGCAAGTGCGCTTCAGATGACATCAATCCTGGGCTCCTCCGTGGAGCAGGGGGCGCGGGGGGGCCCTCCCAGAGAGGCCTACTTGTTATGGAGTCCAACCTCGTACTGCTCACTGCACAACATCCCAGTAAATTGAGAGACAAGTTTTTGGGGCAAAGAATAGCCACTTTATTTGCAATCCCAGCGGACCGAGGAGACGGTGCACTGGCGGTCCAAAGACCCATCTTTCCCAATTATTAACAGAACCCAGGCTTCTTTTCTACTGAAACGGCAGGGGGTGTGGCTGGTTGTTGCACGTCCTTGGTGCCTGTATCCTTGGTTCTTGCAGCTGTCCACAGGTCAGGGGCGAACGTTCCTATAAATCTCCAACAAGACAGTTGTTATTTTTCTGTTCTGCAACTTTTTATCTCTGTATGAATGGATAAGAGTTATACCTTTAAAGGTCAGAGCCTGGAGAATGGGCTCTCCTGCAGATTTCAGGCTCTCCTGCATATTTCAGGCTCTAGGCAACATTCTTTTACAAAGGGGCAGAGCCAGCATGACTCAGCACAGGCAACAGAGCCCAGCGTTAGCGCCAAAGGAATAGGTCCAGTATGGAGTCAGGTTTGCTCTTCTCTGTTACACACCCAGGTCCAGGGGGTTTTCCCTCCGCCCATGGAGGGTGTGAACTCAGACAGCAGCCGTAGGAGGTGTGATTGATCCGGGGGACTGGGACGGCTTCAGGAGGGGCCCTGTTTTGCATTTATGCACTTCCCTCCATGGAGTCGGTGAACCGTCTTCCCCTCGTGAATGAGGAAGAAGGGAAACCACGGGGGCCATTGGGGAAAACCTGGGAACAAACGTGGTCACACTCGGCCTCCAGAGACCCCAAGGTGAGGGGCACTGGCCTTGCCGCTTTGTGATCTGGGCCTTTTACATACAGGGCTTCTGATGATTTGATATGAAGGAATAAAGGTATTCAAGTGTGACGAAATTTCAGTTCTTTGGGGGTTTAACCCATCAAGGTTTTCCCTTCCTCCCTCTGTCCCCCTCCCCCAGGGTCTTCCCCTGGGTCTGCAGTTCAGAGTAAAGGTGGGAGTTGCGATGGGTGCAGGGTGTAAATTCAGCCTCTGACATGATTGAGGCTCCTAACAACTAGCAAATGAGACCAAATTGTTACGAAACAAACCAAGAAATCTTACATGAGAGAAAAACTGTGTTGTCTTTATTTAAAAAAAAAAACAAAAACAAATGGAGGGGATGATTTGTGGCTTCACTTACTCAGCGCACTTAGTGGCACCGAGCGCGGGGCCGGAGTTGGGGGGCAAGTAAAGCCACAGGTCCTGTCCTCCCTGGTGGAGACAGGTGTCTGTTAGCTGCATGACCGAGACCTCCAGTTGGGGTTGTGCTGAGCGTCTGCGTCGGGGCTCAGAGGGACGAGGGACAGGCCAGGGCAGGAGGGGGACCTGGAAGAGGGCCAGGGGCCCCCTGGGAAGTCACAGTCAGCAGAAGCCCTGGGAAGTGCCCACCCTCTCCCCAAAGGACCAGAGAGGAGGTCGGCCCAAGGGAGATTTATGCTGTGTTCTCGCTGTGACTTGTCCAACTTAGAAAACACCCATTTCCCCTTAAAACTGAAAAGGCAAGGAAGCCCTCAGCCCCTGCACAGGGGCTGTCACCTGGGGCCTGTGCAGCCCTGATTGGTGCCCACGGGCAGGGGAGGGAGGGAGGAA